GTCTCTGTTAAGTGTGTGTCTGTGTGTGTATTATTTGGTTCTTAGGGAGTGAGTGAGTATGATGTGTGTAAGCGTGTATATTACTGTGGGTGTGTGTTATCATTTGGCTCATTAGGGAGTGAGTGAGTATGATGTATGTAAGTGTGTATATTCGTGTGGGCGTGTGAGGCCTCAACACTTCCTTAAGCTTGTGTGGGTGAGAAATGTGGGTAGGTTTTGATTTGTAGGGTTATATATTAATACTATCTATATTGTTAAATTTATAGGTAAACCCAGCTGGATAGTGTGTTTTGAAACGTTGTATCCATTTATTTTCATGGGACTCTAAAATCTTTCTGTTATCTGCTCTGAATTTTTTATTCTCTCAATTATAGTGAATTTGGCATGGGTTTTAAAATCGTATTTTTCTAGGCGGAAATGTTGTTCTACAGGTAATAATCTTTCATGGATATATATATATATATATATATATATATATATATATATATATATATATATATATATATATATAATGCATAAAGGTTAATGGTCAGAGTTGTATCAGACCAGGAAACAGCAGTATTAAAAGTGCTCTATATATGTGTGAAAAAAATAAAATAAAAGTAAAATAACATGGAGAGCTTTTTAGCTTTTTATATATATATATATATATATATATATATATATATATATATATATATATATATATATATATATATATACTCTTCACCCATTACCCACCCATATCTAGAGATAACATACGTTAAGGTGAGGGATGTCTGGCCCACACCAAGTGGGGGTTAGGGATAAAGAATTGAAATGGTACATCTAAGTCACTCATGTCTTCTCTCTCCCCCTCACTTCCTCACTTCGTTAATTTTACATATTCTTAATACGGCCCGTCAAAAATGTGTAAATTTCTTTTCATTTTTCATTTCAACCTTTGGAAGTAAAGTCTGATGATCCAGAGCCCTTTAAAAGGGCTGTGGTGAAATAATTTATTACATGGAACCTTAAAGTAGTCTGTTTTTATTCAAACAAATATATATATATATATATATATATATATATATATATATGTGTGTGTGTGTGTGTGTGTGTGTGTTGAAAAGTTGTGAGTTCTTCCAGTGCCATTTCCCATTGCCAGATATTTTGATAAAATGCCTCCTCACTAGTTGAGTCTTTTTCGTTGAACTCAGCTTTTATCACTCCTTTGCCTGGCCATCGAATGATAAACAGAAAAGTGTGACACTCCTAGTCAACAGTGACCTGGAATGATAAGACAGGTTTTATAGCTACGACCGTTTTTACTTTCAGTATAAGGAAGTGTTATGTAGTATGAATGACTGCGTAAACCACTCTCTACTCTGCTAAAACTGTGCGCGTGTTTTACGCAAATATTTTGGGAACTTAAGCCGCGAAATAACTTCCTCAAAAAAGGAAAATTGATAGCTATGTGCCTTTCTTTCCTGATGGAGTGATTTTGAGAGATGCGAGGAAAAATCGGCGACAAATGAGAAAAGCTTTTAATAGATTAACTAACTGATCGATCTGTTCATATACACGAGTGTTTCTCACAAAGTAAGGCGCATTCTTTACATACAGTATTTTAATAGTAGAAACACACGAAATATACCAAATAGTTACCTATATAAACTCAAGTATAATCAGACTAATACTTTCCTAGACTCAAGTATAAAGATGACCAATTGGAACAAAATGTGTCAATTAGTAAAGGATAGACTGAGAATTTCAAATCTATTCTTATTTTTCAATCATAATATACCACGTTTAAATAGGTATGCCAAAAAATTCGTATACCTAAGGCATACCTAATGTTTAAATATATTTTTCATAAAGGAAAAATCATTTTCGAAGCTTTCCCCCAGCTTCAAGTGAAAGCTAAAGGATTAAATTTTCTAATTACAGAAAAAAATACCGAGGAGTATTTCAAATAGAAATTTAAATGATTTTTAATCGAAAAGGCCATTTTTAATCTTTTTAGAAAAAAATAGACAAAACTTACTTTTTTCTTTTTGAATATCCCGCTAAAATAAGATATATATTTCTGAAATGTTACTTTCATAAAGTTAGGAAATTTAAAATTAAATTAATCTGCTCTGAAACAAATATCACTTACTGCATAAAACTTTCTAGACAAACATTTCTTGACCTCGGTGTATTGTTATTTTCACGTCTCCATCGATAATTTGATGGCGGAGTGTGTTGACAGGTTACTACGGTGCACCAAACATCGACGTTTTTTTGTTTCTTATAATAATTTAAAATACTATAAAAACTTCTTACATTATTAAGTTACCTCTATAATAGTATTTCATTATTTAATAGCTAAGATAATGATAAATAATTTTGTTAATTATTAATATTACATTAAGTTATTACATTTTAATTTAATAACTGAGATAATAACTAATAAAATTATTATTATATTAATAATTAAAATATCTCACTCATTTATTAATTGTTTAAATTGATAAATAAGATGAATTTATTTTCTCAATTTAATTTTTAATTTAATAACTGAGAGTGAGATAAGCCCAAGACTGTCAAGGGGCTTTCCCTAAAGAAGAGACAAGCTTTGAAGCACGTGATCTTTTAACCATAATGTAACTTACGAGATATCATACTAAAAAAAATATAACATTTTGACGCGCAAAAAAAATCTTTAATTATGGTAAAAAGTTTTCGTAGCATGATTTGTATTAACCTTTTAATTTCCGCTTAGTAAATATAGTCTTCACTTAAAACCTATCCCATACTCAATTTGGAAGAATTTTAAAACATTTTTTAAAATTAAAGAAAAATGAAAAAAACTAAAAGAAAAATGAAAACAATTCTTGTAAAAATTCTCTATTTATCGAATTTTTTTTCTTCAGATATAATGTCCTTAATGTATATTATTTATAAAAGCAAATAAAAGCCTATCAAATTCGATAATTAGATAATTTTATTGCAGTTTTTATTTAATGATTTTTAAAAAGGACTGACAGGTACTCCAGTTCAGTTTTTTCTCTTTTCCTTTTGTTCTTATAATTATAAGGACAGAAGAAAAATAAAATAAAACTTAATCGAATTACCTTCTCAGTAGTTTTTTTTTTTAAATTAAACTTGCATGCATGCATATATATATATATATATATATATATATATAGTGTGCCATGAATAAATAATCGTCTGAATTACGCCAAGATAAAAATGACACTGATATCCCATTTTAGCAGATATATTTCCCAAAATTTCACAAAAACTTTTTGAAATACTAAAGAGTAAATTTATTCAGTAAAATCGCAATTAGCCTCAACCAAGTCCTCCAGTCGACTTCGGAATCTCCTGCAACTCTTCTACACTGTCTTCTTGTTTAAGTTGGTGAATGCTGCCATAATCCTTGCCTTCAGTTCATCTTTGGTGTTACAAGGAGTTTTGTTGGGCTCTCGCTCAACTGCTTCCCGCACATAATAATTAAGAGGGATGAAGTCTGAGGAGTTAGGTGGCCAGACGTTAGGTGCCATGTGTTCGCAGAAATTGTCTGACAGGCATAACTGGATTTCCCTGCTTGTGTGGTATGGTGCAGAGTGCTCTTGCCAGACGCAGGGTCTTCCAGCAGCCACCCTCTTGACCCAGAGCAGCACATGTAGGCCTCCGTGTTGAGTCTGAATTTCATCTTAACATCAAGAAACTGGTTAGATAACTAGAAAGGATTATTAGAAAAATAAATAGATATAATATGACTATATTATCCAATGACATACTTGGATGAACATATATATATATATATATATATATATATATATATATATATATATATATATATATATATATAGTGTAATATAGTCTTAAATGTGTGGTATATTTATGGGATAATGTGTCAATATCAGGCCTGACGATTAAATCTAGCCTGAAACAGACTCTCGGATCTTAGTGTTGACTTCAATGTTCACTTTTATATATATATATATATATATATATATATATATATATATATATAGGCATATATATATATATATATATATATATATATATATATATAGGAAGTATATATATATATATATATATGTATAATTATTTATTTAAAAAAAATTTATAACATAAATATGCTATAAAATCACTACAAAAATAGCCATTTTGTTTCAACACTCTCGGTGTCTTATCAAGTCTATATTATATCTGCTCTACTTTGTATTAAGCACTCTTTTAAGAATAGTATTTGTTGGTTATTGGAATTCATTCCATATACACCAATCATATACATGGGTATATATATATATATATATATATATATATATATATATATATATATATATATATGTGTGTGTGTGTATGTGCCTGTGTGTGTGTGTGTGTGTGTCATTATTAAAAAGATTAAAACGCTGAATGGAACACTACGACCGGTTTTAACCATAAGGTCTCATCAAATGGTTAACTCAGCTCTAAAGGCTTGATTTTTATTACTTGAAATTGGCCACTTTTAACGCATACGATTTTAAAACAACTACTTTAGTGTTTGTTTATTTCGGTATATATATATATATATATATATATATATATATATATATATATATATATATATTCTCTGGAACACACAGACAGGCAAAACTGTATAGAAATCATTGGTTTTTCTCTTTTAATAATTTACGAAAAAGAAAAACCTTTCTCCACGTTTCTCTCTCTCTCTCAATCATTCACTCTCACACGCACATACATATATATACCTACATAAGTGCTTAAGTATGACATAATATATCCTCATATCATATAAATTCCTCCGTACACAAGCCCATTATCTTGGTGCAGTCTGTAAACGCTTGAAACTTAGTGTACTCATTACACAAGATACTCATAGATACGTTTCAGTCAATTATATAGAGACTCCCGTTTTTCTCAGCTACGTACAGGCTCCTAGTGTTGTCTTTGTGGAGAATTAAACAAGTTCCTTATAAATCCAACCAAAGATCAGCCTGTGTATTACCATTTCGAAATTCTCTCAGAGATATAATTGTCAGATGCGAAACCGGTGCTTCACCATCTTCCTTCCCAACGTGGAGAAGACGTTTATCCTCGTGTTGAGGGCAGAGCGACCGCTGTTCAAAACACTGGCTATTTCTCTTGAAAGAGAACGGAAACCAGCTGGACAGAAAATTCCAAACTGACAGGTTGTTGCTGGGTGGGAGACAGTGGGTGGGTCTTGGATTTATAGAATGTCGTAGCTACTGAGGTACACAGAGAGAGAAAGAAAGAGAAAGAGAGAGGGAGAGGGAGAGGGTGTGTATGTGTGTGTATGTATGGCTGTTGTTTCTGTGTGTGTGTTTTGCGCGTGCGCGTGTCCGTTAGATGTTTTTTTTATCCTGTAAAATTCTACGTCCACTTGGATCTATTCAATCCCTCCTTATTCGCGGAAGATACGTTTCAAGACGCCTGAAACCGCGAATAGTACTGAACCCTACATTTTGTACTTTTTTGTCTTACATACATACCTATGATAAAGTCTGATTTATAAAGTAGGCACGATAATAATAATGACTTTGCAATAGGCACAGAAAAAACAATCGAAGTTAATCGCGTAGACATCGTGATCAAAAAAATACAAAAACCAAATGTACTTTCCTCTAAAATGGCCGTCCATGTAATTGTAATTTATCGTTGAAGATGTTCAAAAAACTATAAGAATACAAAGTTCTTTAAGTGGAAAATGTGATACATAATGACATCAGTAATACCAGTTGTAGTTGGAGCCCTCGGATTGATTGGAAAATGTTATGAGGGACTTACTGAAGGGATCTTTGGTAGTCCATGCACTAAAGAAATATAAAAAAAATGTATTCACAAGTACAGCTCACACTTTACGAAGGGCTTTACCTATGTAAAATGTGTGTAATCTTAAGTTGTTTTGTTTTTACTTTTTACAAAAATGTTCAGTGGAAATGTCATGATGCTATTTCTGACCTTAGGTCTCTGGTTGGGACCCGGAAGGAAATAAGTATAGAAAAGAAATCAAAGGAAATAATAATAATAATAATAATAATAAAATCTGCACTGGAAAATCTGCAATTTCTACGGGAAGGAAACTGAAAGAAACTGGTATGAACACCACAGACCCGGTTATAGGACCTGTTACAATTCTATGGGGACTACACAATACACACTGACAGAACAATCAAGGCCAACCAGCCAGATATTGTTATTAAAGACCACAAACAAAAACGGTGTCTCCTTATTGACATGGCAGTCCCTGCTGACTGCAATGTATCTTTGAAGATATTCAAAAAAGTTGTCAAAATACAAGGACCTTGAAATAGAAATCTCGAAAAATGTGGCATATGGAACATCAACAATCCCTGTTTAGTTAGCCCCTAGGACTGTTTGGAAAAAGATTGCGTAGACTAATTGAAGGGATTCCTGGAAGTCCATGCTTCAAGGAGATACAAAAATTGTTCTGAACAAAGTACAATTACACCTTACGAAGGTCTTTATCTATGTAATTTAATTTTTTTTTTTTTTTTGTCAGTGGAAAGTGTCATGACGCTATTTCTAACCTTAGGTCCCTGGGCGGGGCCCGGAAAGAAATGTATAAACGCCAGAAATCAAAGAAAATAAAAATAATAATAGTAATAAGAATAATAATAAGAAGAATGATAATAACATTGATAATAATAATTGTTGTAGCATACCTACGGACGATAATGAGTATGTTCCCATTTACATAAATACAGTAGTAAATACTGTATGTTGGTCTTTAGTCAGAGATTCGTCTCCAGCTGTGCTGTTAAAACTCCCTGCCTCCGGACAGAGAGAATCCCCAGATGAGGCTATGTCGAAGGGCAGAGTCACGTCTCGGGAAACAGCTACCCGACCCCGTTTGTTACGGGGTCTACGGAGAATTTTTGGAAAGAGGGAGATGTCCAATTCATTTTTATGTAGCAGGAAGTATTAAGTTATGGTGGACAGCAGCAAAGGACACGTTGTTGACGAATGTAATCTCTTTTTCGTTAACATTGGTGGCATGTCATTGTCAAGAGTGCTTTCAAAAACCTTTTTTTTTTTTTCTTTTAATTATTTCTGTTCTCCCTTTCCTTCATTTTTCTCCTGGTTTTATTTTTTGTTTGTTTACTGTCTTTCTTTCATTTTGGCCTCTTTCTCACTGTATATCTGTCAACGGGTGTCTCTTTTCTTTCTTTCTTTCTTTTTTTCTTTCTTTCTTTCTTTTTGTTCTTAATCCCACATTTATGACATTCATTGCTGCTTTCTTTCTTTTCTCTTTCTTATTATATATCTGTTTCTGTCAACTTCTTTATTTCTTTTTTGTTTCTCGCTTTCTTTATTTCATTTTGTCAGTCTTATTTTTCTCCCGCACCATTATGATAATCTTTCTTTTCTTTTCTTTTCTTTTCTTTTCTTTCTTTCTTTCTTTCTTTCTTTCTTTCTTTCTTTCTTTCTTTCTTTTGTATACCTGTCTCTATCAATGCCCGTCTCCTTTCTTTCTTTCTTTCTTTCTTTCTTTCTTTCTTTCTTTCTTTCTTTCTTTCTCTTTCTTTTATCTTGTCAATCTTGTTTTTCTCTCTCCACCATTATGAAATTCTTTCTTTCTTCCTTACTTTCTTTCTTTCCTCTTGCTTATTGCATATCTATCTCTCCCAGCGGCTGTCTCCCTTCTTTCTTTCTTTCTTTCTTTCTTTCTTTCTTTCTTTCTTTCTTTCTTTCTTTCTTTCTTTCTCAAACAACTGCCATGACTCGACATATTTTGCATGAATTTAGTTTCCATTTAATGTTACCATTTATCCCTCAATGATCAAATTAATCCACCTTAAGCCAACACTTTCTTCCATATTGTATCATTGTATTTCCCTTTTGGATTATCTAGAACTACTTGACCTTAATGAGATTTTCTCCATAATCATTTAATCAGCTTCAAATCCTCCAGTTTCATTTCCAGAAATCGGGTTGCTTGACATCATTACCATATAAGGAATGTAATCAAAAGTAGACAGTGTCTGGTGTTAGCATTCAAGCTGAGGTGAAAATCAAAGACGTCGAATGCTGATTTTCTATGCAGGTACGACCTCCCCGCCTTAAAATGTCGGCTAATGCAATTTTCCTACTTTCATTATAATAGCTAATAAAAATGTTCAACGACTCTATGAACTTTTGAACTTTGGAATAGCAATTCAGATTAAAATAAATTATAAATCTGATTTTCACCCTGTCAAGGTTGATAATGATTACAATACCATTATGCTATTCTTTCTTTCTTTCTTTCTTTCTTTCTTTCTTTCTTTCTTTTATCTTGTCAGTCTTGTTTTTCTCTCTTCACCATTATGAGATTCTTTCTTTCTTCCTTACTTTCTTTTCTCTTGCTTACTGTATATCTGTCTCTATCACCGCCTGCCTCCCATCTTTCTTTCTTTCTTTTCTTTCTTTCTTTCTTTCTTTCTTTCTTTCTTTCTATCTGTCAAGGTTGATAATGATTAAAGCAGCTTTTTATCGCAATTATCACTTGGTTGGTTAGGTAGTTATAGGCAACTGAGAAGTCTCGAAAACACTGATGAGTAAACTGTAGTCGTGGGTCCTATGCAATTCGCTCCCTGAGTGGCGCGTCTAATTTCATGTGGAAAATATTGTTTATTAAACTTTTATTTCCTTCGTTTTCACACACAAACTCTCTAATGCATAATAGCGGACAAGTAAAAGGTTTTTTGCAGATTTTCTTTGAAGGTAACGTTTTCAGAATTTTAAATCATTGGCGATTTTCACTAAGGAAGATCATACGTGTGAACATACATTGTTTTCGGAACAGAAAACGTTCATAACTTTTTTTTACTGGAGATAAATATATTAATAAATCAGGAAAAATATTTATCGCAATGTCATCAATGATATTATTGTTCTAAGATGTCATTCTTTTAAATAAAGAAAAAACTCTTTCCCCGAAAGAAAAAAATACTTTTCCGCATTTCTAAGGCGTGCTTATTGGCTTCCATAGTGAAAATGGCTGCTGTACTTCCAACGAAAAATAACCTTGAATTTTTAGTAGTGCGACCCGCCTTATGATGAACCATATTTCTTGTGTTCCAATGAGAGAAAAAAAAGTTCACCATGCCTACGCCAACTCAAACCTATCTTGAAAGTGCTCGTTTGTCCATTCACTTGTTCGTGGCATGCCAGTGACGAGGCATTTCTATCAAGACATATGGAAATGGGAATGAATAGAAAGAGAGGGGTTCGTGCCTTTTCGTGCTTTTACTCGCTCTCATAATGGAGAAGAATGGCTTTAAGACTTTAATACTCACAGGGCCTAGTAAAGGCCCTGTTAGTATTAATGTTAAAGGAAGTAATGGAGAGCCATGATCACTACGTTCTGAAATAACATAACACAGAGAGAGAGAGAGAGAGAGAGAGAGAGAGAGAGGAGGCGATCAATCGGTTACTCCACCCAGGACCTCTAAATTATAGATGACTAGATTTTGTCAAGGTCAAAAATGGTTGTAACATCAATTTACCAAGACAATAACGTATTTATTAGCTCACTTGTTCACTCGCCTTTTCCCTCAGATGCGGTGGTGTAACAAAAACATAGCGGCTTAATATCAAAATATTTGGGGATAGATACTTTTCTATACTTTCCCCAGAATCGACAGGAATTTAAATTGAGGTCGCCCACTTCACTTTACATGCAAACAGCCTCTACACTACCCCCCCGCACACTCAAACAGACACGCATATATATATATATATATATATATATATATATATATATATATATATATATATATAGTCTGTAATAATCCTACAACAACACAAATAAATCCTCTACAAAAAAAAAAAAAAAAAACCCAAAACAATATAGTGTATCAATTTACATGCCTGTTCAGAGATTGTATCTCTGATACAAATACTAAACCCACTAAATATATTGGTTTTACTACAACCACGCTCTCCCGTAGATATATCCTGTCATCTTTCTGATCTAAGTTCTATTAAACAACATTTCTTAGAAAAACATAGCCGTGTACATAATATTAGACAGTTATTAGTTGATATCACAATAATACTCACACATACACACAGTAAAAAGAACCTTAAGATATTGGAGGCCATTTACATTAATACGAAACAAACCAACACTCAACAAAATTACATTTCAGACGAGTCACAACAAATTACATTGCATCTAGACCTATGGTTCTGTTGTTAATATTTCGGTCTCTCACGTGGTACAACGTCACAGAACTGCATCATGAATTTACGACCTGCGTCTGCTATTCCGTGACCGTTATCGACACATGGCAAACTTCTATGTCCACATAACAGAATATCATCTTTGATGGTGAATATCTTTATTTAAATATCCATATAACTACTCTGAAGATGGCTCATGTGAGTCGAAAACTTAGATCAAGGAACAGCATAATAAAAAAATATCCAAATGTTGGACAATTTTTGGTTTTATTTTCTTCCGAAATTATAGCAAACATTCTAAGTTTAGAACGGCTCATGATCAAACATAATAGACATTCGATGCCTGTTATATTTAACAATATATGTTTGAAATATATATATATATATATATATATATATATATATATATATATATATATATATATATATCCGTAGGACTTTGATAGTGCTGTAGTCAAAAGAGAAGTTGCAAAGTTCAAGAAGTTCTTGTGCAAAATTTATTATAGGGAAGAAGCTTGCACTTCGCCAACATTTTTGGAAGACAAAGTGTTGTGGCCGTGTTAGGACACAAGAGAGGAATTGAGTTAAATATATTAACAGTAATATAAACATATAAAAACGAGAGTGTTACAGCAAGAATGTTCGATCCGACTGTCAGAGCTGATTGCTGGAAACTTGACGATATTCAGTCACCCCCCACTACGAGGGCATCATGTGGCACAAGGCCGGTTTAACGTGGGATCTCCGAGCCCATGGGCTCGGCCAAAAATATGCCCATTGAACCCATATAAACGGATTCAGGGTCGGTTTACCTCCCCGAAAGAGAATTCGCCCTTCGGCGTAGCCTCCTTAGGGTTCCTCCCCGCCCGAAGGCAGAGTGTTCAACCGATCAGCCGGTCGAGACTTGAACGACTGCTGGAAACTTGACGATATTCAGTCACCCCCACCCCCACTTGGGCATCATGTGGCACAAGGCCATTTTTTTTGACTTTCCAAAAGGCAGTCCCTGCTCCTATTTATAGCTGAGAGAGTCCATGCATGCCTGGGTAAATTGCCATAACATAAAGTTTATACCAGTGGCAAAACAAAGTTATGACGACCAGTCACCTGTGAAGACACCACCGAGGAAGCATGAATCAGTAGTGATGAAAACTGTGAAGGTTTTCAAATGGGGGAGAGTTCATGAAGTCGTCATGCTTGATTATGAGCAAACTTCCACCACCATATATACACACACACACACACACATATATATATATATATATATATATATATAGAGAGAGAGAGAGAGAGAGAGAGACAGAGAGAGTCGTTGATGAATATTAAGAACATAGATGAATATATATATATATATATATATATATTCATATATATATATATATTCATATATATATATATTCATATTTTTATAATAATATAAATATTAAGAACATAGATGAATATATATATATAGTCATCTTTGTTCATAATATTCATGAGCGACTTTCTCGGTGTCATTAGTTCTCAGCTCAATATCTCTGCTAATGACGCCAGAATTTATTCCTGTTTTAATGTTAAGTTCGATAGGTTACATACAGTCAAACCCGCTTATTAAAAAAAATATTTTTTTAAAAGTCAAACTGGCACATGAAAAAATATTCAAACACGTAAAATTTGCAATGCTAAAAATTCCCAAGATTCGCTAAAAAAATGAGTATACATGATTTGCAAAAATGCCACAAACTTAATAAAACAACGTTTTATCGTCAAAATATTTGTTAATATTAGAAGGAAAGACCAAAGGAATTTTCGGTGCTACCATAGCGTGAGGTCAAACTCCGTTTCGTATATAGCGTAAGATCTACCGCAGCATCGAACTATAATATAATATTGTATGTGTATACGTATTTATTTAAACCGTATATTATCATTTATATATCTATATACTATTTATATTTAAGGCAGAGAAGTAAAAATAAACACGCTATCAAATACAATACATACATTTATTTTAGTGATAAACAATTCGTAAAATCTTCGAGGAATGACACGATTAGATCACTGGAATTTTTCCTCATCATCTTTTAGTAAAAATGATCAAGATATGACTGGAACAGCTGACTACCAACACCTCGCATTTTATGCACAGACCGTGTAGTTTGACGCCCCTTTCAAGGACAACGTAATACAGGCTTGAATTCTCCTCCTCTGTTATGCTTTCGTTTTTCCTCCATGACAATCGCATTTATGGCATGAATCTGCTTGTTGAACTTTATCCAACAGATTGTCTTCTCTTAAAAAGGCGACTGCTGTTTCCTCTGTCAGGATGACTCTTCTATAAAACTCCTTCAGAATCATTTTGAAGTACCCTGAAGTTCTGAAATATTTGTTAACTGGTTCAAGCCGAGGAGGGTACTGATTTGGGAGCTTCATTTGCTTCTTTTTATATGGGCAAGTCACGTGTTTAGAAAATGCGAGACAGATATAAATATCCATGTTAGACTTCATCTGACCTGATCCATGACCTTAGCTGAACTGATGGCCACGTGAGGGGAGGGGAACGGTAGACCTTCACGCTGCACCTGAGTAGACGACGTATTGAGGTAGACCTCACGATATAATAACATCGATTTTTCGATTATTAAATCATAATCCTTTTTAGAACATTCGTAAATTTGGTTAAAAATTTTGGGGACGATAGATTATGTAAAATTTTAGCGTCTTTTTGCGGTGAAAAACCCTGATTTGCAAAGTGATGCAAAAATCAAATAATTGTCGGATTTTAATGAAACTTTCAGGACTTATTTCCAAATGAATTAAATTATTTCAGAAAACTTCCTTTTTAGAAAATCTTGGTAAAAGTAGTTTTATGTTTTAAATCTGTTACCCCAGTTTAGTTTTTTTTATGACATTTTTGTAGTGCTTAATGTTTATATTACTTATAAGAACAAGTCCTTGGAGAATTTAAACCATTAAATTTTAAAGAAAATATGCTCTGAATTGTAAAATTAAAAAAATGCAATAAAACGAAGACATTTTTAATTAAAAAGCTTTTAATTGCTTTTATGAATAAAATATGAACACTATTGCCTTAAGAAAAATTTTGTATTAATTTGTAGAGATTAGGTGTTAGTGTTATTAAGTAAAACTATATTTAATCATAAATAGAAAAGCTTAGTACAATTCAGTGACCCCCAGCATTTTAAAAATAATTTTGAATTTTTTTCGTGTGTATAAACGTAGCGATTTATGTAAATACGGATGTCCATACACGACAATATCAGAGAATAAGAGCGGTAACTATAGTAAATTTAAAATTCATTGGTTATTTTCTCACATTTCCTAAGTATATGTCTTCGTAAGTCGATAAAGCCGAAATGCGTAAAATTCAATGAAATATTAATTTATTTGGAATATTTCCCAATTTTTAAAGATTATTGGGTAGTTAAAAAATTATATAAAAATGGCGTCCACGTTTCATCCGTCAAGAAATTTTTAGTTATGGACTCTACATAAAAATGCCAAGCATTAAGCTATCGATAAAACTATCAAACCCTCATAGAAACACACATCCGTGTTAAAAAATGCTCTTCTGTGATATTTTAAACTAAAAGTAATATTTGTTTTAATTCACGTTAATTAAACTTTAAATCAACGAATATTCCTCAAATAAAGTTGCAGAAAAGTATATTTTATTTTTGAAAGAATTTTTAATAAAGAGAATTATGTTGTGTTGACAGATTTGTAAGTATGGCTGAATTTAGCGATTTAAAAAAAGAAATAATTCTAATCAATTTAAATTTGGTTTGAAATGCAGCAAAGTACAGAGTGCGATGGGTAAATTGTCGCCACCATATATTTTTAATCTTGCACATGTGCTTTGTTTTTGATTTTGCCGACTCTATAATAATAGTAGGGTCAGTTGGGCACCTACTGTGAGAAAAATGGCACCATGACGCTATTCTCTTCGCTAGAAATTTGGAAATAGCATGCTGTACTGCTTGGCATTCGCGCCGGAAGCTCCAATGCGAACGTTTTTCAGAGTGTTTAGCTGTCCACTCAGTTTCGATACCTAAGGTTTAAAATGAATTTTTAAAAATGAAAAAGCATTCTTGAAGCTTTAATTTTAGCTTTAATTGAAAGCTAAATGATTAAATTTACTATTTCCAGCGAGCAAAATACTCTGCATGTTTTCATTGAAACATGTCTAGTTGAATAATTTAGTCATGTTCTGTCTACTTTATCTTCAATTGGATCCTTTCCTATTCATGAATCGGGATAAAAAAAAATATATATCAACATGGCGATTTTCTCTTGTCATTCAATAACGACACCAAAAAGCTTATCCGTGAATATGAAAGGATCCAATTGAAAATAAGTAGACAGAACATGTCTAAATTATTCAACGACACACACACACACACACACATATATATTTTAAGACATTTTTATGTTTATACATTCTTTTTGCAGATACAAGTATTTAAGTAAATGCTCTGTTTATAATAAACAGTATTAAACAACATTTATCGGCCTGAATGTCCAAGAAAGTTTCACAGAAAATATTCGTCCTCCGACAGGATCCGAACCTGTATACAAAACTGAACCGTCATTTAGCTTGACGTGCCTTTACCGATTTGGCCACAGAGGAGCGTTAGCTTAGCACGGTCGAATTTACTGCATTTAAACTTCTATCTTCCATGAATCTCTCCTATCTCTAGGAGGACGAATATTTTCTGTGAAAATTTCTCGGACATTCAGGCCGGTAAATGTTGTTTAATACTGTTTATTATAAAGAGAGCATTTACTTAAATATTTGTATCTACAAAAAGAATGTATAAACATAAAAAT